TTTCTATCTGTTGAGATAAAAGCCATCACCAGATTCATAAAAGTTGTATAAGGTTTGGCATGATTAACCCCTTCTTGGCAAGATAACTCAGGAGTCGCGTTACTGCATTTTTAATTTTTCCTACAGCGACCTTATTTTGAGACTATACTGAAATATATTTCTTCCATGCATCTTGATTTGCTCAGATATGCAACTTGGAATAGATGATTGGATCCAGGTCACCACTACTTTGAGAGATAGTGTCTTAAACAGATTTTTCCATTAGTCAGGAAAGTTTAAACTACTGTTTTGCTCCACTAATGAGAAAAAGGACTATTTCTGGAGACAGTATTTCCTGTCTGGGTGTTTTACTGTCTGAAAGGCTTGTAATAAAGCCCTTAATCTCATATATTAACCAGGCAAAAATCCAATATTTCAAAGAGATTTGGACTGGGATCTAAGAAATAATTCCAGAGTACCTTACTGAAGTGCATAAGCCACTCTTTAACAGGTATCTGTCTACTGATCAAGGGCTTACCAAAAAAAACAAAAACAAAAAACAGTTGAAATAAGATTCTAAAATCAGAATTCTTCCTTTTCCTTCAACTTAACTGAATTTACTCCATTGTTTTTCAGCATTCTCCCATTAACTCCCAGGAACTTCTTTGTATTAAACGTGTAACTATCCATTTATAGAATGAATCATCCTGGTTCTTCATAACCCTGGCAATTACAATCATTAATTATAACTAATCTGTACGTTTGATAAGGCTATTAATTCAAGCAAAGCACAGATTGCATTAGTATATTTCGTTCAGACCAATCTTGAGATGTTCAGCGTTTCACTGTTTTGTAGCGAGATAATAAAATGTGAGAATCCAACTAGATAAACCAGCCTTAGAATCGGCAATGATGATACTGAAATGGCAGACAATATCTGCCCGTTAGGCTCAACCATCCACAGTGAAGGAACAAGCAGTCAAGAAATATGCTGGAGACCAGCACTCCGTAGAGCAGCCATGAAAGCTTCGGAAAAAATATTCAATTGCTGAGATGTGTACAGGTAGACCTCAACTTACAACAGTTTATTTAGTGACCGTTCAAAGTTACAACAGCACTGAAAAAAGTGACTTAAAACCATTTTTCACATTTACAACCTTTGTGGTATCCCCATGGTCATGTGATCAAAATTCAGATGCTTGGCATTTGGTTCATACTTATGACCGTTGTTGCTGTGTCCCAAGGTCATGCGATCCCCTTTGGCTACCTTCTTGACAAGCAAAATCAACGGGGAAGCCAGATTCACTTAACAACCATATCACTAAATTATTAACGGCAATGATTCACTTAACAACTGTGTCAAGAAAGGTCGTGAAATGGGGCACAACCCACTTAACCAATGTCTTGGTAGCAACAGAACGTTTGGGCTCAGTTGTGGTCGTAAATCGAGGACTACCTTGTATCTACCTATAAAAATCAGAACAATGCAAGCCATGATATTCTCTCTCACAATCCACGGGAGTGAACATTGGACTTTAAAGAAGCAGAAGAGGAAGACTCTGGACTTTGGTGTTGGAAGACAATCCCAAGAATATTGTGGACAGCCAAGGAAACAAATGTATGCTAGAACAAATCAGTCCAGAGTTCTCACGTGAGGCATAAATGATAGGTTTAAATTACCCTATTGTGGACACTTTCTGTTCTCTGGAAAAGGCTTCAAAGCTGGGAAAAGTGCAACGAACGAGAAGAAGAAGACAACCAGCACGAAGATGGGTGGAATTCAGTTACAGTTCAGTTCAGTGGATGGGGATGCGGTTGGAAAAGTTGAAGGACCACTTAGGTAACCACGGATAAAATCTACATGGTAGCTAAGTATCGACAATGACTTCATGGCACATAATCAACCATTACTTAATATATAGGAGCACTTAATATAAGAGCAAACAATGTGAACATATTACCATGGTAGATTGAAATGGATTAACATGCTTCTGGAATTCACCACCACTGTACAGAATAAAAAACCCCCCAAAACAAATAGGGCCCTAGCCATCACATCAGCATTTTGGAACAGAACATGCATGATAATACTCCTGATGTGTGTGTACCTGGGTGTCTTTGGGCAATACCATCTTGTCACAACTTCACACAATTCCTCTAGTCTGGAGTAAGAACAGAAGCAGCTGCATTCTGCGGAGGCAAACTTTGCCACCACGAACCTCAGACTTTCAAAGTCAGAATCCCAATGCAAGCATGAAAAATATAGTTCCCAATCCCTCAACTGGGACTTGCCCTTGCAGACTTCTGGTTCCTCTGGTCTAATTTTCAGACTAAGAAGCCACGCTCCATAATCTTATACAATAATTTGCCACCAGATCAGATTGTCTTGACCAAGAATTTTTGGGTTTGGATGCTGCAAAACGACTATTATAGAAGTCGTATTGGCCACTTTTCAACTAATAACGATATAAATATCCTGGCACTGGGCTGCAATTTGGACTGTGACAAAGTGTGGATGCATCTTGTCTGTTATTACAATTTCCATCCAAATTATATATTTTCATTTTATATGCCAGTCAATAATTACTATGGAAGCAAACAGTAATAAGCAGCAGAATTCATAAGAGTGACATGTAAATACTTTCTTTTCTTGTTCTTTCCATTTCAAATGAGTAATTTTTGAAACAAAAACACACTATTTTAATTTTCATTCATCTTTGATCACACCTTTTTAATTAAGCAACTTGGGTATAACTGCTGAATGACTGGACATTCATTTGCCATCCTTTTCCGATCTGTCTTATTGAGAAAATCATTGGCCAATAACATCAAAATGGGGGGGGGGGGAGTTGAGATAAATAATAGGAGGCACAATCATCAGCCAAAAACGATTCACACAGTTGCAAACATTCACAAAAGCCTTCATGTAGATACTTCAATAAATACTATCTCTTAATATAACTACATTCAAAGATAATTCTTTACATTCAGTCTTTACATTAAGTACAGTCTTTCACATTTAGACTGTAACATGTTTTTAATACAGTCAGGTCCTAAAAAGGACTGAAAACTATGTAAGTGAGATTTAGTTGTAAAGGAAAAGAGCACTTTTCCTGGCACTGAATTTAAACACTGAAGCCATTAGAACACCATTACGAAAACACCCTGGGCCCAGAGTGACTCAAAGATTTTTTTTTTAAAATGTTATTCTGAAAAACCAGGCCACATTCATCCAGTAATTCTTTGGAGCTTGCTTAAAAAAATCAACAAAGATAAATAACCACAGTGAATCCAGTAAGTATATTTGGGTGACTCTAACGGACAATTAAAAAAAAAAGATCAGCAACACAAACCAACTGAACAAAAACCACAGATAAGCCAAAGACAGTGATTTCATAATTATGAGAAAAAACTTCCCCAGCTGCAATTTGTAATGGTGTACAGTTTTATTGTGTGTTCTACATGTGGTCAGATTCAATTAGAAGACCATATTGTGAGTAATCCTTACTCAGGGAAGGGACAATACAGGTAGTCCTCAAGTTACAGCCACAAATGAGCGCAAAATTTATGTTAAGTGAGAAATTTGTTAAATGAGTTTGGCCCCCTTTTACCACTTTTTTTGCCACATTTGTTAAGTGAATCACTACAGTTGTTAAATTAGTAATAAGGTTGTAAAATGAATCTGGCTTCCCCATTGACTTTGCTTGTCAGAAGGTCACAAAAGGGGATCACATCACCCTGGGACACTACAACCGTCATAAATATGAGTCAGCTGTCAAGCATCTAAATGTAAATCACGTGATCATGGGGATGCTACAATGGCCATAAGTGTGAAAAATGGTAATAAATAACACTTTTTTCAATAACATTGTAACTTCGAACGGTCATTAAACAAACTGTTGTAAATCAAGGACCACCTGTATTGATAGGGACCATTTATTAAGCCAAACACTTCTTTTTCCTTTCTGCTATAGATTCAGACTACTAATGACTGAAAATTATACCACTGAAAGATATGCCATATTTGTAAATGTTTCTATATTTCAATGCAATTTAAACAAATGACTTCATAAATATTTTAAATAGTTTTGAATAGCTGCATAATTTTCCCCACTTAATATTCACTATCACAATTTACCCCGTTGAAAGAATTCCACACAGCATGCAAAATAAACAAAAACAAAAATTAAAATTAAAAGTAAGCATTAATTACAGTGTTTCATTTTTTTTAAATGCCAGATTTTCTTGTTAAAAGCCATTCTCATTTGATTTTACTTGAATCAAACAAATTAAGAAATTTCCTTCAGAAATTCTTAGAAAATTAACTGTCTTTACCTTTCTTCTGTAGATAAAAACAAAGTATCATTCTAAATCAAGATATCTGAAATTTAACAAAATAAAACAAAAGCAGAGAAATCATGGGCAACAATTGGCTTGTATTACAGACAGTTCTCGTTTAACAACCTGTTGCTTCGCAACTATTCAAACTTACCATGGAGCCCCAAAAAGGTATTTAGAACCTGATTCTGGAGTTCCAATGGCCACAACCTAAGACTACGTTTTGGATGCTTGGCAACCAGCTTGCATTTATGGTCTTTTGCAGTGTTCCTGTAGCCAGGTGAACATGATTTTTGGAGGTTTTTTTTACCAGTTTCTGGTGTTTACACTTCAGAGATCTGGCAAAAAAAAAAAGCCCATTGGGTATAATGCATTCACTTAATAACCACCGCAAAAAAGTTCATCAAATTTGTCACAGACACATGACCTGGTTAATGACAACTATGATTTAAGACAGGAGTGGGCCACTGCGGCCTCCAACCTGTGGACTTCAACTCCCAGAAGCTGGCTCAGGAATTCTGGGAGTTGAAGTCCACAGGCAGTAAAGAAGTTATGGTTGCCCATCCCGGTTTAAGACTATAATTCAAGGCTCAATTACAATATTGTAAATTGAGGGCTAACTTTTCCATTTGTCTAAGATTAAAAACACAGGTTTCCTTTAAAATTGCCATCTGAATTCATACCTATGTGTCCCGTCCAGATTTGATCTGTGAATGAAGTTCAATTTGGCATCTGCCCAATACAGCTTCTGTTCTTCATAATCCAAGGTTAATCCATTTGGCCAATAAATATCTGCATTGATGATAACTGAACGGCTTGAACCATCCATGCCAGCCCGTTCTATCTTTGGCATTTCTCCCCAGTCCGTCCAATACATGAACCTGAGATTTAAAAAAAATAATAATATGAGAAACAGTTATATCCACATTTTTCCCCCAAATATACTGTAAGCATCTTCCAAAGAGAAGCAAAATATCAATGAACTACATTGCTTGTTACCTCTGTTCTTGATCCGAGTTGGATAATGGATAATGGGGTTAGTTTGTGAGATAGGTGTATCCTGGTTCAGGTAGTCCTCGACTTACAACCATTCATTTGGTGACCGTTCAAAGTTACAACAGCACTGGAAAAAGTGATTTATGACCCATCCTCACATTTATGACCCATTGCTGCATCTCCATGGTTGCATGATCAAAATTTGGATACTTGGCAAATGGCATGTATTTATGACAGTTGCAGCACCTCAGGTCATCTGATCACCATTTGCAAACCTTCCCAACTGGTTCCCAACAAGCAAAATCAATGGGAGACGCTAGACTTGCTTAACGATCGCATGATTCGCTTAAAAACAGCAGTGATTTTCTTAACAACCATGATAAAAGGTCGTAAAACTGAGTGTAGCTAACTTAACCATCAACTCGCTTGGCGATGGAAATTCTGATCCCAATGATGTCCATAAAACAAGGATTCCCTGTAAATTTCTGGCATCATTTGGGATTATATCTCTCTTGGGTAGAGCTGTTTTTTGTTTTTGTTTGAATTATCTCTGATATCCTCAGAAAAACAGGGATGGGGGAAGTTACCCTTCCATTTCTGAAAAGAAAGCAAACACCCCCTCCCCCCCAAAACCCATACCCAGGAAGGCAGAAGGACCAGCATTCAATTATGGTCAAAAGAAGCAATGCTTGAAAAAAGGAGCTCCAAATCTAGCACTAATTCTAGACCTGGTTCTGCAAAAGACTAGAATCATCTTTCATGTAAAAAAAGCACTTTGCAAACAGTAAGTAATAACAGTAACTGTGAGAGGAATCTTGGAGTCTTAGTGGACAACCAAATAAATTAAATATGAGCCAAGTGTGCAGTGGTAGCCAAAAAAGCCAATGCAATCCTAAATTACATTAACAGGATACAATCAGTGGTGAAATCCAGCAGTTCGCTGCGCGCGTGCATGCGCACTGCGTGCCAAACGCACACTGCGTGGAAAAAGGAGGCTTAAGAAGATAAGTAGAACAGGGGGGGGAGGGAACAGCTGTGCCATGTGATTTAGATTCGTTAGAAAGCAGGATTTCCTGCTTTCGGATAGTCAGAAATACCGGTTCAGATGATCGGTAACATTTTTTTATTACCGGTTCACCTGAACCAGTAGCTTTTATTACTACCAAATCGGTAGCATTTTATCCCCGGATACAATCAAGATCAAGTGAGATACTAATACCACTCTATAAAGCCTTAGTAAGACAACTCCTAGAATACTATACCCAGTTTTGATCAACACTCTATAAAAAAGATGTTGAGACTCTAGAAAGAGTGCAGAGAAGAGCAACAAAGATGATTAGGGGACTGGAGGCTAAAACATATGAAGAACGGTTGCAGGAAGTGGACATGGCTAGTCTAGTGAAGAAAATCATCAGGGGACACATGATAGCAGTCTTCCAATATTTGAGGGACTGCCACAGAAAGGAGGGGGTCAAGCTATTTTCAAAAATACCTGAAGGCCAGACAAAGAATAATGGATGGAAACTGAACAAGGAGATATTCAACCTGGAAATAAGGACAAATTTTCTGACACTGAGAGCAATCAACCAATGGAACAGCTGGCCTTCAGAAGTTGTGGGAGCTTCATCACTGGAGAATTTCAAGAAGAGTTAGGCATTTCTTCAGGAAATAATTGAGTTTGCACATATTGTTAAATTTCTGAGAATGATCATTTGGATTCTAATTCAGAAGCAAAGGTGACTTACAACATAGCAATGAACTGCCCGCATCAACCCCTGAAAACCTGAAATGAAATTCAGAGTTTCATTTGAAACTCATTTCAAATGAATTCAGAGAAATTCAATCAGAGTTTTTCTCATTGTTCTTTGTATTTACACTCAGAGTAACATATGCCTACGGAATCTGCTCTCAAACAAGAGGTTTAGGTAATAATTCTGACATATGTAGTTAGCATATTATATTATCATGATTCAACATTCAAACTCACACAATTTATTTTTTTTTTAAATCCACAAAATACATTTGAATTTAATCAGTTTGACATTTCACCTGCCAAGATTTTTCAGTGTCAAAGTGACAACAAGGTGAAGATACACAGAGAAGAAATTGGGGAAAGCTACTAATGAGCTGTTGGCAAATGACCATTTTCAAGGAAGATTTTAAATCCTATAGCTCACACTAGGTTTTATGATTAAAACCATGAGGAGAACAGTCAACCTTGCCATGAAGCAAAACAATGTATTTGCAATCAAAAATGTTCATCTCTTCTCAAAAAAAGGAGGCACCTCTTCACATAGTATATCTGGTATGTTTTTTAAAAAGATGAAGAGGACTTTTACAGAACACTTGTGTTTTGATCATTCTGGCAAAGAAATCCACATTCTGCACAAGGACATTTGACATCTGGGATAGATTAAAGAGAATAGTCAATAGTTGACACACGTTGGTTGACTTTCAAGGTCATTCCACATACAAGGATAAACAAAAACTTATAACATACCTGTGAACCACTTCATGGCCATTTTAAGAGCTCCCTCCCCCAAGTGGGAGAAGCCCAAAAGTTCTGCCTGTTTTAGAGGGGCTACTATAGGTTCATTAAACCTTTCAGAGGCCAATTTCCCCGTACCAAAGGTTTTAAGGAGCATTTTAGGGGCCTTACTTCTTTGAAAGGCTTATGGTAGTACCTTCTCCACTGATAACAAGGCAGTGGATAACAACCACTGCCATTGGTGGCCAAAACAAGTTTTGTGAAAATGTGAGCATTTACTGTACTTATTCTTACTTAGCACTCCTAAAAGAGAGGGATAGGCACGGTCTGAAACAAAAATGGAAATTCCAGAGTGGCTCAAAACATTCCATCCTCCTCCAAGCAAGAGGGTTTTGCACACCCTACTCCTGTTATTTTTTTCCTACTGATAATATTTATACTAACTTGGATCCTTCCAGGATTGCCGACAGAGCATACTCCAAAAAAGTCAAGATGGCAATTGCAAGGGGGCCATGCACATGAACAGTTCTGTTTGTTCATGTGCACGGCCCGCTCATCCTTTAGTTTGTCTAATTTTTGCTTACCATGCTGTATATATATGTATGTATATGTGTGTGTGTGTGTGTATACATATACATATACACATATACATATATTTGTTTTTTTCTCTTATCGTAGGCCCTTTATATGTATTTCTCCTCAGCCGGGTATTTTCCTACGTAAACCAAGATTTTCAAAATGCAGCCATAGTTCAGTGAAATCACATCCACTAGTTCTAGGCTTTTTCAGTTAGCAAGCAAGCAGTTTGCTGCCTTATGGGAGACTAATATAGATCTATTTCGGACTAATTAGTCCTCATCAGTTAGCCATACCCTCATCACGTTTCCTCCCTGTAGAGGTCAAGTATTTGTTTTCTATTCTTTATCGTGTATATATATATACACACACATATAAAATAAATTATTTATATAGTTAGTTATACGCGGTGGCTCAGTGGCTAAGGACGCTGAGCTTGTCAATTGAAAGGTTGGCAGTTCAGCGGTTCGACTCCCTAGTGCCGCGTAATGGGGTGAGCTCCCGTGACTTGTCCCAGCTTCTGCCAACCTAGCAGTTCGAAAGCATGTAAAAAATCCAAGTAGAAAAATAGGGACCACCTTTGGTGGGAAGGTAACAGCGTTCCGTGCACCTTTGGCTTTGAGTCATGCCAGACACATGACCATGGAGGCGTCTTTGGACAGTGCTGGCTCTTCGGCTTTGAAACGGAGATGAGCACCGCCCCCTAGAGTCGGGAACGACTAGCACATATGTGTGAGGGGAACCTTTACCTCTGCTGCAGTTATTGTGATTCATGAATCTATACATAAAAATGCTAATGCAATTGAGCTTGAATCATTTAACTTCTTATTCTTAGACGCTGGAAAATTAAGAACTTTTCTTAAAGCATACTTCATAAAAATACAGTTCCCTCCTCAAGTCAGGCTTGTCTGAATCTAGTATGTTCCTTCAACTTCCCAGCCTAGCCTACAACCCTCATGGTATACAAGCAGGGTTTCCTGGGAAGACAGCCTGTATTATGGCTTAATTAAAGTTTTGAAACAATGACACAGCAGAGCATCAGTTTGGACATGCCCTCTTTGCTCAGGAGTCTCTACTGAGCTGGGAAAAATTGCTCTGACCACATAAAGAAATGGACCTACCCTCGTACAGGATCTAATGCAATCGCTCTGGGTTGATCCAGTTCTTGCCAGAATAAAACCTTTCGCAAAGATCCATCCAAATTGGAAACTTCGATCCGGTTCGTTTCAGAATCCGTCCAGTACAGTTTTTCACCCAGCCAATCACAAGCTAGCCCATCAGGTGACAAGAGCCCAGAAATGACAATGTTTTGCACACTTCCGGATTGGTTGAATTTTGTGCATTTAATGGCTTCTTCGCTGACGTCGCTCCAATATATCAAACCATGGATGAAGACAAAGTCCAGCGCAGCAGCATCTTCCAAGCCACCCACCACAATCGTAGCATTCTCAGTCACGTCCGCAGCATCCACCAGCCGAAGATCACGCCGATTTGCATAAAGCAACAGTGGAGATGCTTTGGAGAAAGAGAAACATGTTATGTAATCAAGCATGGTTCGAAGTTTCCAGTCATTTAAAATACCTCTATCATCAGTAAGTTTAACTTCTGATATTAATTTTTCCAGGTGAACATACATCTAAAAACACCGTAACTCAAACGTTTCACTCTTGCACTACAAAAAGTCTGCAAATAACCCCCCAAATATCTTGACTGTACACTGCCTTGAGTCCTACGGGAGAAAGGCGGTATAGAAATATAATAAATAAATAAATAAATAAGATTTGACCTGATGACCACAGTATCAAGGACGACCACAGTGTCAAGGTGTAATTCATTTAACAGTGTTCCAGCACCACTTGTAACACAATATGTCTCACTCAAGAAGTACATAGTGTTAACAATCTTTTTAAAAGGTCTTAAAACAGGATGAAACAAATTTAGAGGGAAACATCTCTCAAAAAAGAGTAACTCCATGGAGACTGAATGTGTGTGGACTTTCTGCTCATTATTGTTCAGGTGAGAAAACTTCAGAATAGTTCCAGTAAATCTGAATTCGCACAACGTATTAAGATATGGACTATTTTCAGCAAGTGGTTTATTTACTTACAGCCTAGAGCAGGGGTGAAATTCACTTACCTTTGCTACCAGTTCACAAATGTGAGTGCGCACGCCTCCTCCACGCATGCGCAGAGCCTTCTGTGCATACGCAGAGGGTCAAAAACGGGACATGATGATGTCTGGGCAGATGGAGCCCCCCGCCGTCAGCACTACCAGTTCGCCCAAGCCGGATAGAACCGGCTGAATTTCACCACTGGCCTAGAGTAATACGTAAGTCCAGAAATTTTAGGGTACAAGCCTGGGTGAATGCCATAATGTCATATGCGAACTGGGACTTGTTCAAAATTCCATGAATTAAAAACAAAAAGTGATGTGTGAATCTAATTTTAACCATCAGCCAATTATGGTTTTACACTTTGGTTCATTCAGCAATTCCTTCTGCGCATCACACTAGGCCAAAAGCAAGAAGATTCTGTTGTGGGTTAGTCTACAGTAATCTGAATACCACATCAATTCTCCTCAGCGTGTCAACTCTTCTTTAATTACATTAAATGCATCATCCACAACTCTATCTCACATATGCTTCCTATGTCTCTTATCTGTGGCCCAAATGACAATCTTCTTTTGCATGGCTTTTGCATTACTTAACCACCTGGATATGAGTCACCTGGATACGAGTGTTTCATTGAGCCACTGGGAGTAATATTCATAGTATATTAAGCTTACATGCCATTCAAATCATCAACTCCAAGCAACTTACTGCCATGCAAAAAGAAGATTAAAATAACCAACAATAATGAACTATTCCTATGCTGAGGAATCATAACACATATACACATATATTCTTAAACAAGAGGACTATCTCTAAGATCATCACCAAGGCCTATAAAAACAGCTGGAATTGATGCTTTGGGGATTGCTGCTCTAACAATCAAGAAAGCCCATCTCCCAGAATCTGGTAGATTATATATTTTAAGAGAGAATCCTGAACAATCTTGCTCTTCTTAGTCTAAGTGGGTGGGTGGAGAGCCACTGGGAGCAGGCTGTCTCATAGATATCCAGGTCTACCTATGTAAAATAGACAAGCAGAAGACTAGAGAAGACATCCATGAATACCAACTAGAAGTCAGAAGACCCAAAGAAAACTCCTTCATTTCACAATATATGGACAGACTCAGCCATTATTTCAACTGGAAAACTGTCAGCACCCTAGACTAGAGCAAAGCTAAATCAATAAAAGAACAGATAAGGAATTCCTGGAAGCTTGGCATTCAGACAAATCAACCATCAATATAGATAAACTATACAACTACAAGTCAAAAGAGTCAATTAAAAAACCTTGGAAGGGAACAAAAAGACTCAAAGCATGCCTTCCAGCTACCAATACCCAGATAAGCAGCGATCAACACCAAACAATCAGGCAGATAATAACACTCTAATCAAGGAAACACCAGGAGATAACTATGCCTCCACCAAGGTATGGGAGGACAAATGACTAATTTGCCCTATTTCAAGTTCTGTTTATATCATTCTCCAAAGGAAAACTGGAAAATTCAGATTTATTTATGTATTATTCTAGCTGCAGGTTGCTCTTATTTTCTCCTTCTGTATGTAATTTATTCAGTCAAGTCTGCAAATTGAAGTCTACTCCAAAAGTGATCAAAATAAAAAAACAGGCTCTTGTCCCAAACGGATTATATCTAAATTTCAAATATGAAGAGATCAACAGAAATGGAGCGCAATACCACAATGAAAATAAGAGGTGTCTGAGGAAATTCAATTTTATGCATTTACTCTTAGTTTCATAAGTAGGTACAACCCTTGACTTATGGAAGAGATAGCATTTGGAGGAATGGAAACGTGTAACTTGTTTTAATAAACACATAAAAAAATCAAGGTTCTGATCTTATTAGATGTGAGCGATTAGGAAGAAATACTTGAGTATCTCAGAATGTTTTCTTTAAAAGTTCTCCATAAAATGTAGGACAATTGAATTAAAACACTACACTAAACCATGATTTTGATTGGATGTACAAAAAAAATTTGCTGGATTTACATAACCCAACAAATCATAACTCATTTTTTAAACAACAATAGCTGGAGTAATTTATGACCACAGCTATGGCCAGTTGCAGTGTCCCATGGTCACGTGACTATAATTTGTGACTTTTCTGCTGGTTTATAGTATTTTTTGCCAGTTTCCAGCAAAAAATGTCTATTTGGAAGAATGGGTTAATCGAACAATCACAGTTTGCTTAACAACCACATGATTCATTTAACAACCACCATGAAAAATGCTGGCTGGAGAATTCTAGGAGTTGAAGCCCATACAATTTCAAGCAACCAAGGTTGCTCTACTTCATTTACATATTACCCAGCAAGTACAAAATTTGCCTGCTCCCATATAAATAACCCCATTAAGTGCTAGTATTTATGCAAAGCAACTTTTCTTGAGAACTCAGAAAGGCTAACCGCATTTTTCCCAAACAAAGCCCATGTCATCAGATGCCTCAACAATAGATTTCTTAAGTCTCTCAGCCAATTTACAACACCCAAACAAATTAAGTCTTCCAAAATTTACAAGAAATACTAAAGAATGAAGCTTTGAATAAGACACCCTGAAATCTAATGTACTTACTTTCAAATAAGCACATTAGATTTACTTTTGCTGGAACTGGGTCTGTCCAGTTTAATGAAAAGAAGGATTAGGGGTGACATGATAGCAGTCTCCCAATATCTCAAGGGTTGCCACAAAGAGGAGTGAGTCAAGCTACTCTCCAAAGCAGCTTTGGAGGGCAGGACAAGAAGCAATGGGTGGAAGCTAATCAAGGAGAGAAGCAACCTATTGTTTGGAAGAATGGTATAAGGAAGTATGGGATATTGCCATAAATGATAAACTGACTTGTAATATTAAAGTAAGAAGGGGCATAATGAAAGTAAATGAATTCAATGGAATCTGGAAACAGTTCCTAATATATGTGTTTTCTGGAGGAAGGAGGATACCACCACCAGAAGAAGCTTTAAGATTTTGGAAGCAGGAATGATCCCGAGGGGTGGGGGAGCACTCGTTGATTGTTTGTATTGTATATATTGTTATATATTATATATTATGATTTAGGTATGTTAATACAATTTAAAAAATTAATTAAAAAAAAAGAGAAGCAACCTAGAAAAAAGGAGAAATTTCCTGACAGTGAGAACAATCAGCCAGTGGAACAACTTGCCTCCAGAAATTGTGAATGCTCCAACACTGGAAGTTTTTAAGAAGAGATTGCTCAACCATTGTCTGAAATGGTACAGGGTTTCCTACTGGAGCAGGGAGTTGGACTAGAAGATCTCTAAAGTCCCTTCCAACTATTATTCTGTTAAGTAAATCCCTCCAGATATGGAACTGAGTGAACATAATGCTTGAATCAGGAACCCTCTCCTAGGCTGAACATACCCCATACAGATGGCACACTAATAGCTGGTTCACATTTAGCCAGTGGAAAACTGAAACCAGGTCTGTCCAGTCTAACAAAAAGATTGTACTGTAGCCCCTCTGCTATACCGTTGTTTGTGAATTAATACAACAACCAGGCAATAAAAATAACTCCTGTGCAGCATTTCAAACTGAAAGGGAAAAAAGGTCCTTCAGAGCATGTGTGAACGCATGCAGAGCACCCAACTTTTTCCCATGCTGTTTTAAGAAGCATCACAGCAGCCTTTTCCCTTTAACTCCAGACCAGTGAAAAAGCCAAATATGTGTGCAACTTATCATAAACACACAGCTGGCAACAAATTGCATGGAGAAGGATGACACTTCATGTGTATCCTATTGGGGGGGAGGGGGTAATGGCTCTCCATCCTTGAGAACCAAATATATATTGTATTTATTTGACTTTTATGCCAATGGTCTGAACCACATCAGAGGAGCCGCCTGTTAGAGAAGAAAACATTTTCATTGATCTACGGGGCCAAGCTTTGTCATTATTCTTTCAAAGGCATACAAAATGGAACATTTCACAATCACAACTTCTCTTCTTCCTTAGCCCACAGCCAGTTCCAACCTAAGACAAGAAAACACAACTCTGCAGGCACAGAGCTAAACAGCAAACACATGACACCCCCCCCCCCCCCCGATTTGATATCCTGATGACCTTATCTTCATCTCAAGTCCGATCAACAGCTGAGGCAGCTTAAAGTCACCATTGGGTGTCCCAAACAATGTTTTCTCTGTGGACAAAGTTGTTTTTATTTTGCTATGGACATGACCTAACATGCTTCATCAGTGATAACACAGTCAGGGATGAGGTCTCTTGCCCAATTTAAGCTCTGGGCACACAGCTTAAATTGGGCATTGTCTGTGTAAAGTCTGACTGATGCTTATAGGACCTCCATGGGTTCCTTGTGAACATAAATTGAACACTCCTTTGAAAGAGGCTAAACCTATATGTAAAGAAATGGGTCTTGAGAGAGTGTTAATTTTGTGTTGCATGGAAAGTTCATTTAAACCGTCCAAATTATGGTTCTGCCAGCTGTCCATGGGTGGTCCTGTCACCATCATACACATACAGGGTATCCACGGCTTCTACCAAAAAGAATGCAAGAGATGGTGGGAAAGTAACACCAAGAAAGTTAGACCTAATGACAACAAATGGGAGAAGGTTTAGCATAGGTTTAACACTCTTTTAGAAAAGCACTAGAGCCCTGCTGAGAAATAGCTTGGCTGCGAGGTCACAGGTATGCAGCATTTCCGAGCCGAGAGTTGTTAGGTGGGATGCTTGATGCGGGAAACATGCAATAAGAGGAAAGATGATGCCTAAGAAAACCATTTTCTTGATCTTGTTCTGCATTAAAACAGGAAGGTCAGCACCCTTTTTTTTAGTTTCGTCACTAAGATATAATAGGCTTTAGCACTTTCCTGTCAGTTCATGGATATTTTAATGTGGCCATTTGGTTGTACCTTAAATCAGGGGTCCCCAACCCACGATCCATGAACTGGCACCAGGCTGCAGCATGCCAGAAACCAGGATGCGCAAACAAGCGAAGCCTCATCCGCAGAATGCAAGCAGCACATAAAACCATGCCCCCTCTGGTCTGTGGAAAAACCTCTCTCCCTGGTGCTCTGGTCCTTCTGCACCTCAAACAAATTTCTTCTGTGCAACTTCACTAGAATAATTTTTTGCTATGTTGTGGTCCCATTCATCTCAGGGGGTGGAGTGTTACGTCTGAATCCAGCAGATCCGAGGAAATGCTTCACATGTCTTGGATGTGCTGCAGTGGTGGGTTTCTACGGGTTTGCCCTGGTTCCTGCGAACTGGTAGCAGCGGCAGCGGGAGGCTCCGCCCACCCGCCCGGACATCATCACAGATGGTCTGGGCATGCGCAGAAGCGCATGTAGCGAAGGTAAGTGGAACCCACCACTGATGTGCTGGCATTTTTGAAAACACAGGGAGAGGGTCCAAATGATATGTTACTCTACCACCTGAACTTTTTCATTCCTTCATTTAATACATTCTAGGCCTCAATCAATCAATCAATCAGAATAGAGCTGGAAGGGACACTGGAGGTCTTATAGTCCAACCTACTGCTCTCAAGCAGGAAACTCTATATCACAAGTGGTACCACAAGTGGGCTGTCTGGTCTCTTCTTAAAGACCTCCAGTGATGGAGCAGCCACAACTTCTGCAGGCAAGCTATTCCACTGGTTAATTGTTCTGTTAGGAAGTTTCTCCTTAATTCTAGGTTGCTTCTCTCCTTGATGAGTTTCCATCATTTCTTGTCTTGCATTCTGGTGCTTTGGAAAATAAGTTGACCCCCTCTTCTTTGTGGCAGCCCCTTAAATACTGGAATATTGCTATTGTGTTCCCCCCCCCCCCCCCCCCTTTTCTCTAGACTAGCCAAACCCAATTCCTGCAACCGTTCTTCATACGTTTTAGTCTCCAGGCCCTTAATTATCTTAGTTGCTCTTCTCTGCACTTTTTCCAAAGTCTCAACAACTTTTTTGTAATATGGTGACCAAAACTGGATCAGTATTCCAGGGGTGGTCTTACTAAGTTTTTATAGAGAGGTAGTACTACTTCACGTGATTTTGATTCTATGCCTCTGTTTATGCAACCAAGGATTGTATTAGCTTTTTTGGCTGCTGCCGCACACTGTTGGTTCATATTTAAATAATCGTCCACTAGGACAATCATCCGCTTCTCCCATTTGTTGCCTCGACTGCTATTAATTTTTAATTGGGTCCGCAGACAAGATGCCAGCTTGCTTTTGGACAGCTGTGTTCTTTGCAATAAATCCTGAACAAGAACCCAATTCTGTTTTCTTTTCCCAGAAGGAATGCTTTTTTTACTTCATATCCATTAATTTCAATGCAATCTCAAATGGAAAGTTATTGATGATTGTTTCAAATTCCATTTCTGGCATCAACATAGGGAAAATAACATGCAGCATGGACTAAACACTACTTTGTTTTCCTCATAAATGGCAAAAGGTTTACAAAGCTTAACAGAAATATGGAACTACATAGTGGGACTTTCGTTTTTTTAAAAAATCAAAAACACTTTTTCATAGAACATATTGAATCTTCCACATCTGCTGTGGGTGGTCCTTAATCTGATTATTTATAGAAAACACAGCACAAATAGGTTTTATGCAGGAAAAAAAGTTCACGCAAACATATTTTTTCTCTCTCTCCGATTAACTCTTCAAGTGGAAAATTTGATACTCCACCATGAATTTAAGCATGCATATGATTTCTATAGGAAAACAGCTTATCTGGCAAATATTCCTGGAATAGGAACATATTTTCCCCATTATTACTGATTTTCTGGGACTCCCTCCAACCTAGTTCAACCTCTGAAAGTTCATCTAAAAAACAAAACAGAAAACATCCCTGGAAGGAGAATTTTTCAAGAATGATACAGGTCCTTACAGAAAAAGCAGCTATGTCATTTTCCTCCCATTAAAGCATGGGGAAGTTAGAATTACTTTTAAGCTTCTAATGCTTGCCACTGAGAACTAATGCAAAAAACTGTGAGATACTGGTAACAGTACTCCACACATTTCGATTAAGCAACATGCAAACTACTTTGTTACTTTGGATCAGTGGGGAAGGACCAACCAGGCCCCTAAAACTAAACTAAAACTAAACATGTTTTTTTTTCTTGGAGTCACAGGAGCCCTTTTTTCTCCTTGCCCAAAACAAAAGCAGGTTGTGCAACTCAAATGATTCGAAACGTTGTACAGGTAGTCCTCAACTTACGACCACAATAGAGGCCAAAATTTCCTCGTCACTAAGTGAAACATTTATTCAGCGGAATTTGCCCCATTTTTTTACGCCCTTTCTCGCCCGCGGTTGCTTTAAGTGAAACCACTGCAGTTGTTAAATCACTCAAAACCGCTATTCAGTGAATCAATCCGGCTTCCCCATTGAATTTACTTGTCAGGGTCACCAAAGAGGGGACACACACACGGGGGGGGGGGGGGAGACACTGCAACAACAACCGTCACAAATATGAGTCGGTTGCCAAGCGTCTGGATTTGGGATCACACCACCGGAGGGACGCAGCGACAGTCCCCAAGTGTGAAAAACGGTCATAAAGTTGCCTTTTTTTCCCTTGCACCATCTGTAACTTTTGAACAGTCACTAAACGAACCATTGTAAGTCGAGGACTACCTGAATATACCCCCCCCCCAAAAAACCCCAAAGACTTTACTTGTTGTGCATGGCAAAAGCACAAGAGGCACCACGGTTCCACGTTGTTTTTCCCAGGCTGACACGATTTCCAAGGCACTTTTTTTTTTTTTACTAAATCTGGAGAGAATCAAGAGCCAGGGGGTCAGCAACCTGGGGCTCTGGAGCCGCATGTGGCTCTTTCACCCCTCTGCTGTGGCTCCCTGTCACTCAAAATATGCATCACAACCGCCAATGTGGCACATGAGCTTTTCAACCCCCGGTAGGCCAACCATGGATAAACCCAAGGAGGAAAAAATAAAAAGTTTCAGAAGAAAACAGAACATTTAATTCAACTACATATGCTAGTTTTGTGACCGCTCAAGAAACAAGTCAGGCACGGGAAAGGGTTTTTGTGGCTCCCGGTGTTTTCTTTTCTGTGGGAAACGGGTCCAAATGGCTCTTTCTGAGTGTTTTAAGGTGTCAGACCCCAAGAGCAACAAACAACAATCCTGAGCGGACTTTTTCTTTGCCAGGGATCCAAGGATCGCCCACGCTCCCAGGTACTCCCACGCGTGAGGCTGCCCCACGGGGAAGCCTTCCAAGAAACCCCAGCCCGGTGGGGAGATGGAGATGGGGATCCGGCAGAGACCTCTTCCAAACCCACCCACCCACCCCCAGGTTGCGCCTCCAACCCCATCATCTCTTCTGGCTCCGGGAGAAACAAAAAAAAACACCGTCCGGAAAGCGACCCTCCAACTTTGTGAGGAAAAAAATAAGGCTGCCTGGAAGGAAGGAAGGAAGGAAGGAAGGAAGGAAGGAAGGAAGGAAGGAAGGAGGAAGGAAAGAAGGAAGGAAGGAAGGAAGGATGGAAGGAGGAAAGGAGGAAGGAAAGAAGGAAGGAAGGAAGGATGGAAGGAGGAAGGAAAGGAGGAAGGAAGGAAGGAGGAAGGAAAGGAGGAAGGAAGGAAGGAAGGAAGAAAGGAGGAAGGAAAGAAGGAAGGAAGGAAGGAAAGAAGGAAGGAAGGAAGAAAGAAAGAAGGAAGGAGGAAAGGAGGAAGGAAGGAAGGAAGAAAGAAAGGAGGAAGGAAAGAAGGAAGGAAGGAAGGAAGGAAGGAAGGAAAGGAGGAAGGAAGGAAGGAAGAAAGGAGGAAGGAAAGAAGGAAGGAAGGAAGGAAGGAAGGAGGAAAGGAGGAAGGAAGGAAGGAAGGAAGAAAGGAGGAAGGAAAGAAGGAAAGAAGGAAGGAAGGAAGGAGGAAAGGAGGAAGGAAGGAAGGAAGGAAGGAAGGAAGGAAGGAAGGAAGGAAGGAAGGAAGGAAGGAAAGAAAAGTGAACCCGGTCTTTTGTGTCTCCTGCACAGGAGGTCCCAGCCCGGGTTCGGCCGGCCTCGCTTTTCCCTCACCTCTCGCCAAAGCGCACAAGCCGCAGACCAGGAGGCTCCGCAGGACGGCGCCCATCTTTTCCACCCCCTTTCGCTCGCTCGCTCGGCCGGCTCTCACCGGCGGCGGCGCGGCGGCGGCGGCGGAGACTCAGGAGCCGAAGAAGGCGGCCGAGGGCGTCGGCGTCGTCGGCGACGGCTCCTGGGCTGCCCGCTCATGCTTCCGAAGGAGGCCCGCGGAGGGCGGAGAGAGAGAGAGGGACGGCGCTGCTTTATCAAGAACCAGGCGCGGCTACTTGGGAGCCCGGCGAAGGTGAGGGAAGCGGCGCCGGCCTTCCTCCTCCATCATCATCATCGTCGTCGTCGTAGTCGCCTCCTCTTCCTCCTGCCAGCCAAGGCGGGGATTGTCCCGCCGGCTCGCCTTTCTTCGGTTCCTTCCTGGCTCAGGGAGACGCTTTCCCCTCAGCCGGCTGGGAACCCGGGGCGGCGCAGGGGCGAATTCCGTCTCCGCCCTGGCTGCGCTCCCGGGCTCGCTGAAGCTGGCGCCCTCCTACTCCTCCTCCCTCCGTCCTCCTCCTCCTTCTGCCGCCGCCTCCTTCTCCTCCTCCTCTTCTTTCCCTCAGCCGCATCCACACAGGCGCGCGGAAGACGCGCCTCTCTCTCTCCTTCCTTCCCTCCCTCAGACAGCCGACGGCGCGGGAGAGCTCGGCCCCTTCACGACGACGACGACGCCCTCCTCCTCCTCCTCCTCCTCCTCCTGAGGACGCGCCAGGAGCCGCCCCTGCCGCATTCCGGAGGGACTCCTTTGCCCCCCCCACACACTCTCCTCCACCTCTGCTTCCACTTTTTCCACACGCGCGGAAAGCGGTGATGTGGCCTCGGCCGCCGCGCGCGCTCTCTCTCTCTCATTCTCTCTCTCTGTGTGTGGACCGACCTGGTCGGAACTACTTTCGGGCCGAGCGCGTAAAGGGCGCGCAGGCACAAAAGCGGCCGTTGCTCGCGCCAGGTGAAGCGTCTCTCTCTCTCTCTCTGAGGGAAAGGAAGGTCCGGCGTGAGGTAGCTGAGGAGAGCCCGTGTTTGGCTTGAGACGGAGCCGGTGAGGGCTCTCGGCGACCGGGCGAAGGAAGGAAGGAAGGAAAGAGAAGCGAGGCGGGATTCAGCGGCCAAAGGGAGCTTGTCTTGCCTTGCCCGCCAGTCAGCCAGACGCCTCCTTTCTTCCCGAGGAATGTGGACCGGCTGCCTCACACAGCGCTTTGTTCCCTTTGTCTTTTTCGGCAGACCGAAGGGACACGCCGTGCCTGGAAGGAGCAGGAAACTCCGGTCCGCTCGTTCTACCCGCGGGTTGCGCGTTCACACGCGCGTCGGACACCTTTCCCCCCCCCCGTACACGAGTTCTAGGTTTAGGAAAGATGCGTGTCGAGCGGGTGTTTTCCACGAGGCTCTGGATCGCCAGCCTGCCCCACGAATGAAGCTAGGCTGAGATCCGGGGTAGTGGGATTCGTGTCTCGTGTGAACCTGGGAAAACGGGAATCGAGGGACATTTAAGGGGGAACTCAGCCAGGAAAAGAAGAACTGAGCCCAACGTTAGAACCAATCTTGGTTTCTGACTGTTGCAGCTCGGCGTTAAGAATCACAGGGACCAAATTTTTCATGCCCTGTTTAAAATTAATCATGAGGATGCCTAATATAGGTAGTCCTCAATTTACAACAGTTCATTTAGTGACCGGTCAAAGATACAAGGGCATTGAAAAGACCATTTTTCACCCTTGCGATTATTGCAGCAGCCCCAATAGTCACCAGATCAAAATTGGGATGCTTGACAGCTGGTTCATATTTATGACCCGTTGTTGTGTCCTGGGGTCATGTGATCACCTTCTCACAAGCAAAGTGAACGGGGAATCCAGATTCACTTAACAACTGGGTGACTTGACTTAACAGCTGCAATGATTCCATTTAAGGGTGGCAAGAAAAGTTGTAAAATGTGGCAAAACTCAATGAATGTCTCGCTTAGCAACATACATTTGGGGCTCAATTGTGGTTGTAAGTCAAGGACTACCTGTACTTGCCCAGGGAGGGAATCTTTATCACCCCAGAACTGAATGGAGGATTAAATCTAATTGGAGAGGGAGTGAATTTGCTGAATTTGGCTGGATCTACAGGGGAAAAGTATTTAAGATTTCATCTTCATCCATAAGGTCTTAATCCTTTATAACTAATAAAGAATCTGAAACAAAATACACTCGGAGGGTTAGAGGCAGGAAGGTAGAGAATCTTAGCGAAGGAAATAATATTTCTACGTTGGTCCTTTGGCTTGACAAAAATCTCCCAAGAAACATTTTATCCCATAAGAGAATTTTAAAGAAAGGAAGTTGCACTACAATATAGAGTTTTTATGTAATAAAGATGGAAAAAATTATTTTGCACTTTTTAGGTTGATAAATATATTATTACAGAACACACAACTTGGTTGTATTTATGAAATTTAAAAACACTTTTAAATAGCAAGTCACTTTCTGCTGACTCTGGTCACTCAAACACTAAAATGATCCTGCATTTATAAACAAAATTGAACTTTTATGAATGCCAATTGTATTTTTAAGAGGTTTTTTTTCTCCTTTTGTTCAGCGGTGTCCAATTTTCAGAGACTGACTTGGCAAGGGTTTCAGGAATGGTTTGGCATTGCTTCCTGCTTAGAGCTGAGAGAAAGTTACTGGCCCAAAATTACCCAGCTGGCTTGTTGCTTAAGATTGGACTAGAACTCGTGATCTCCCAGTTTTTAGCCTGATGCCTTCATCACTACGCAAAACTGGCTCTCAATTATAAGAACAGTAGAGGTGTTGTTTGTGGTTACGACCTTGTCTTGCATTATGACCATAATGGAGACTGCCCTTCACTATTGTAACGTGATGGTTGTAACACAGTTGATCATATGACTGACCCAATATTATGACCTTTATTGCGGTTGTTAAGTGAATCACCAGGGTCATAAGGCGAACCTATGGTTTGCTATGGGTGCAGTTTGGCTGAAAACCAGAAATGCCAGTTTTCATCAAAACCACTGCGAAAAGTGGTCAAGGGACTATGGGACATTGCAAACGGCTGTAAATGTGACTCAGTTGCCCCAGTGTCAGAAGTGTGGTCACATGACCATGGAGGGGGCGACCTTTGGAACTTTGAAGGTGATTTGACTTCCTAGATACAGTTGTGTAAGGACATCAAGAGAGCCAGTTTGGTCTAGTGGTTAAGGTGCTGGCCTAGGAGCCAGGAGACCCTGACTACATAAGCCATGAATGCAGGTTGGGCCCTGGATTTTGGGGTAGTGCACTCAGGGCATGTTTGCACAATCATAAACAAGCCAATCACATTTTAACCCAAGGGTGCTGTGCAGATTTGGGTGATAATGTATATGGTTCAGGCAGGGGAGCCCATAAAAGAGGACCAATTAAATAAATTTGTTTCATTCACCCAATGTTACGTGGTGCAGAACAGACTATAAAAACATATTTATTGGGATGACACTCAATTACTTAACACAAGCTGGCTGGGTTTGCACATGCCAAGAGCTCACGGTTAGCCAAATCATAGCTTATTTAGTAAATTTGGTATTCTGGTTAATGACTGCAATAAAGATTGTTTGATCCAGTTAGCTCCAGGGTTTTTTTTTTTAGCTGGGTTCATACATGCTTCTAGACTAAAATGTGGCTAGTTTGTGATGTGATTCTAGAGCCACGTTCACAATTTAGCATTAGTTCACAACTGATAAAGGTGAGAGTTTCATGGAGTAAGTATAGGCTGATAAAGGGTTAAAGATCTCCCCTCCCCCTTTCTCCTCCAAATTGTTCCCATCTGAAAGATTTCCATTATGTGTGATATCATGTAAGGATGGCAGAACTGACCCTCCAAGATAGATTAGCTTGGAAAAAAATGAGAGAAATTTTGGCTAGAAGCTTGTGCTGAGTTATCCGTAAGGCAGACCAGTGTTCTTCAACAGCTCAATTATTTATTTAAAATGTCAAGACATCTGGAAAACGTAAGTTTCTTTTTCTTTTTCTTACCTTTTGGGAGTACTTGAGTCTTACTTGACAAAACATGCTTTTGTTGTCGTAAGGGGATCAGGTTTTAACCACCAAACCCTGAAACATTATTTTCTTTCAGTTTGCAAAATACTCCACAGATGGACCCCATTAGCTTGCCCTCTGAGTCTTTCAAACCATAGCAGTTATAAATGTCTTTCTGCTCAAAAATCTCTCATGGAATCCGGGGTTTTGCGGGGCAGGTTCCAAAATATTACATTGTGCCTTTGAAAAATGGAAGAATCAAATGGAGTTTGTCATGTATTAAACAGTCTATTTCTCCTGGAATGAAAGTAAAAATAAATAACATTTCAGAATACAGGTCGACTTACAACCTCAACTGAGCCCAAAATTTATGCTGCTAAGCAAGACATTTGTTAAGTTATTTTTTGCCCTATTTTACGACCTTTCTTGTCACCATTGCTAAGTGAATCACTGCAGTTGTTAAGTGAACCTGGCTTCCCCATTGACTGCTTGTCAGAAGGTCGCAAAAGGGGATCGCGTGGCCCCCTAATTGTCATAAATATGAATAGGTGGCCAAACATTTGAATTTTGATCATGTGATCATGAGGATCTTGCAAAGGTCATAACTCTGAAAAATGGTCATGTCACTTTTCAGTGCCCTTGTCACTTTGAATGGACACTAAGTGAACTGTTGTAAATCGAGGACTACCTGTATTTTTACTGCAAGTAGTCCTCGACTTACAGCCATTCACTTAGCGACTGTTCAGAGTTATAGTTGGAAATGTTCCTTGTAAAGTCAATGGGCAAAGCTGGATTCTCTTAATTACCATGTGATTCATTTAAGAACCGCAATGATTCGCTTAACAACTGTGGCAAAAAAAGTTGTAAAATGGGTATGACTCGCTTAACCACCGCCTTGCTTAGTGATGGAAATTCTGGTCCCCGTCGTGGTCAAAAGTTCGAGGACTACCTGTAATTGTATGTATGGAAGAACAGTATTTGGCATTCAGGATTGAAGGAAAATGTACTATTTTTAATAGGTCAGAAGAGATCAAAAGGCATCTTAGATATCTTGGAAACAGTTCTCTATTTTTACGGTCTAGTCCAATCTTTACAAAGCAAAAAAAAAAAAATTAGTTCTATGTCCGGGGTATCAAACCTTGACAACTTTAAGATTGTGCTGGCTGGGGAATTCTGGGAGTTGAAGTCCATAAGCTTTCTTCTACAAGGTTCTATCATTCAAGGAAAATGCTGGCTGAATCTTGGCAGCTGTCTTGCTGTCAATGTCTATCTCATTTTCCCAGTTTCCTGAGCAATTTTATAACTGCATTTGTAGGGAATTTAAAATCTGAAGTACAGCAGGTTGGAAGACTGAAACTGCTCATTTTCTTTGAGGGGTGGGGGAATGGAAACATTTCACAATTAAAGGGAATCCTGATTGTCAACTCTTAACTTTCATAAATGAGACCCAGTTTGGTATTTTGGCTAAGGCACCAGCCTTAGAAATTGAGTTCT